GACCTGCTGGGCTCTGGCGATCCTTCCCCCTCAGCCTTCTGAGTAGCCGGAATTACAGGCGCGTGCTACCATGCCCGGCTAATTTTTTTTTTTTTTTATTGTATTGTAGAGATGAGGTCTTGCCTGCCCAGGCGGGTCTTGAATCCACAGGCTCAGGCAATTCACTCACCTCAGCCTCCCAAAGGCGCAGAATTACAGGCTGAGCCACCGAGCCCGGCTCATTTTTCCATTTATTTAGATCTTTAATTTCTTTTAACAGCATTTTGTAGTTTCCAGAGTATAAGTTTCACACTTTTTGTTGCACTTATTCCTAAGTATCTTATTCTTTTTGAAAGGAGGGGCCCTTAGAATAAACTTAGCTCACATTTTGCCTCAGCATAACCATTTTTGCTTTGACTGACACACTTTGAATCTAGCACAGGTTAGACATAGATAAATTTCCAATAGGCAGGTTTTAGAAAGTGTTCAGACATTTTACTGTAGGCCAAACTGGCAGCCTACACCACCCTCTCAGCAAATCTATATCAGGTACAAGACAAGGAAAGTCCAACCTTTCAATTCATGGTTTAGCACAATAATTTCTAAGAAACTTTCAGGTTCCTTGTCGAAGTCAGAAGGTCAAAGATCACCCCTTAGCTGGCCCAAGCCATAGAAATGATAATAAGACCACCTTTTTGCTAAGGAGCTTGTGGACTAGAAACACCTCACAGGTCTCCTGCAGGAAAAACCCCTCCCTTTGTCTCCTCCCATGTAGCCCACCACCATGGCAGCAATCATGTGACTAACCCACCCATCTGCCTGCTGTCCACCTGACATCAGCATTGCACTTACCTGCCCCTTCGTGATGGCGTGGAGCAGACCACCACCCAATCACCTTGGTTACCTTTCCCCCATCAAAGGGAAGTTCTAAAAGGACTCAACTGGGCAATCCTCTTTCAGGACCCCTCCCTCTGTCAGGAGTTTTACCATCTTCTAATAAATGCCAACTTAAAAATAAATAAATACAAACAAAAGCACTCAGCCATAAGCAGCCCACGGTCATTGCCTTGCTAAGCTATGGTGTGGTCACGTGCGCTTGGAGCTATGGCCAGGCCATGCCTTCTTAAGCTTTGGCCCCCTCCCCTACCTTGGGGAGGTGAATCTCCTCTTTCCGTCTCCCTCTCATTTAGTTTTTAAATAAACTGTATTTCCTCATCTGACTTCTGTGTAATTCTCTGCATC